TTAACAATATGTTAAATATTAAGATTACAGTTGGTGGTGGTTCGATTCAAATATTTTTAAATGTTTTTTCCACCACAGACAAAAACACTGGTTTTCATGCACTGGTCAATTCTGAGATTTTGTGCTGTTTCACTTCCAGAACATTCCACGTCTTCTCTCAGACGAGTGGCAAGATTTATTTTATCACTTTGTTTATTTGCATCTGTAGATTTCTCTTAAATTTACCAAAAGTTACCATTAAACAATGCCTCATTTGCATATTTAAACATACACATTTCTGCAAACTTGTAATAGAAAAATAATTCTCTTAGTGTCAGTGATGAACTGAGGACGCTTCATTTATTTTTCCCTCTTAACTGAGAGCAGCAGGTCGCAGAGACACTTTGTCGTCATAAAAGCAGAGGTGTGACTAACTTCCTTAATCAAGTCCCATTCGCTGACCTCCGTGACGCCAGCAGTGAGTGTTATTGATTACACCCGTGCTTCCCCGTCGTTCTGCTGGGAAAAGGCCCGCTGTGCCTCCAGGTTCGTCTCGCTGCCTGTTGCACGTATCGCTTTTCTTCAATGTTTTCATGCCAATGTGTAAACGACACAGAGTCGGTGGAGAGTGTGTGTGGCTCGTCTTTACTTCCTCAGTTGTTTGGTATTTCATTATCTAAGCCGCCTGTTCAGCTCTTTTCTTTCTGGTGTTGATGAGTGAGAACAGTGGGAGAGGGTTTGGTGTCCAAACCTTCGACTCATATGTGTGCTTTTAAAAAGAGGGATGCATTGGGAGAGACTGGGACGACCTCTTTGTGGTTGTTTTGCGTCTCTTTCTGGTGGTTTTCTGTGTCCTATAGGTAGTTTTGCATCTCTTTTAAGTCGTTTTGTGTAACTTTGTGGTTGTTTTCTGTCTCCATTTGTGTCTCTTTTTGGTTGTTTTACTTTGTAGTCGTTTTTGTCTCTTTGTGCGTCTCGTTTTGGCGGTAATCCATCCATGCCCATACAACATACAATAGTTGGTAACTATTGTACTTTCTCACTTATCTGCACTATCTTATGTGTACTACACCCCCAACTGTTACTGGTTCTCAGTGAAGGAACTGTGAGGACATGTTGGAGTCTCTGGCTTAAAGGCTTTCCGTCTTTGTGGGATTTATGATAATTTCCACCAGGATGTGGTTTTGAATATTAATCACTCCATGCCTGCTGGCTTTCACAACACATTTCTGAGCCACATGGAGATTTAAAATACTAACATTCAAGGGCTACTGACAGCCGTTGGCTTTCACCAACCACTCTCAGTCACTCTTGGTCCAACATGAGAAGCAAACCGATGAGAGCGTCCTAATGTCCTCCTCACTGTTGTCTCCACCTCCTCCCTCTCTGTACACAAACACACTGCGTTGTCTGCACTGCTATGGGGTTGACTTGTAGTCGGGTGTCTTAATGACACTTTACTTCACACCTCTGATGTTTACAGTTGGTCATGAACAGAACAAGTCAAAAGATTGTGTCACGATTTGAAGAGTCTGGTATTATCTTTGTTCCTACTGACGACAGACATCTTTCTTTAAACGGCTCACAGATGTGTAGGGAGTTAATCAAACAGAGTGTTCTGGTACGCTGCACTTAAGTGATGTTTGTTGTCTCTGCCAGCTCCTGGATGAAAGTTCAGAGGAGGAGGAGCGACACGTTCAGAGCAGCACGACCTCCCCAAAGCTTAACGCAGCAGACCGGAGGTGAGCAGCAGGTTTTCTAATGGCAGCGTGACATGAATAGAAGCCGGTAGCTGTCCAAAACATAAAATAACACACCGTAGTTCAGCGGGTTAGCATGCTTATATTAAGCACCAAGTACAGCCATAGACAGACATGTAAAGGGCCCCTATCTCTGCTGCATCAGAACCAGGGCCACAGATTCAATGGCACATCTTTTTGTCGTCAATTTGCATCTTTTTGTCGTAATTCTGTCTCTTTGTGGTTGTTTTGTGTCTTGTTTAGGTCATTTTACGTCTCTTTGTAGCCGTTAAGCGACTGTATGTGGTCGTTTTGTATCTTTTCTTGGTTATTTTGCATCTCTTTTGAAGATTTTTTGCGTCTTGGTTTTGTAGTTGTAAATCTCTTTGGGACTTTTAAACAAGAAATATTAGCAGTCACTTCGAACAGAGGTTCCGAGGCTCTGGACGAGTGGCCGCCTCACCTTTTTGGGCCCCGGGGCCAGTGGGGTTATTTCAGCCTGGTGCTGGGATTAACATTCTCTACATAGTTTCTTCAATGGAGAAGTATTCTTTTCTGGCACTATTGGAAACCATTGCGGTGATGCTTTCAGAGCAGCAGCTCTGGTTCTGCTCCAACATTCTCCTCCATCCTGTTTCTGACCCGTTGAGGAGCTTCCACCGGGCAGAGCGGTTGGTTTTGGATCTCTTGGGCTACGTTGACCTTTGTTCACCGAGGCCTGCTCGGTGATTCCGCCCTTTGAATCTCACTGACAAAGACTTTAGTGTGAGAGGAACTTTAATCACTTCTTCTCACCACAACCTGCAAACTGGTCCTAAATCTTTTTTAAATCTTTAAGAAGATGCTTCAGTTTTTAAATTCAGCAATTTATATCGCACAAATGTCAGATGTCATAAAGGAAAACATGTATTTGTGAGCTGTTCCTCTGACATCTTTGGTAGAAAGTGGTTGCTGGTTGCCAATAACAAAGCACATCAGCTTTCTTATTCTGTAACTCCTGCATAGACGGCTTGAGTCCTGGACTTCCAGCGTTTTTAATATTTCCATGACATTTTACTTCCAGCACCAGCAAATTACTTCAATTCACTTCCACCGGCAGATCATTAATCTCCCCGTTGAAAAACCGCACTGGGCGGCGGAGACAAAAGGAGAGTCACGGACAAAGTGAACTTTTAGAGACGGTTTATTTAAACTTGAATTCATTTACAGCAGTTCCACTGGAGCGGGAGGGGGGGTGAATGACGTCCTAGCCACACTAAACCTACGGTCCTATCTACTCTACTGTATGTACAGGGAGGAGGATGCAGCTCCATAGTGCAGAAGGCAGAGTTGGCCTGTAAGCGCTGCGAACATGACAGAAAGGATGACGGGGTGAAGTGGCAGCAGTACATCAGAGACTCGAGGAGAGGACGGCTCCCTCTGGTTGTACTCCAGTCCTTACTGATATAGTACAGCTAGCATCTGCTCCTTATATGTAATGTGAGCCTCCTGCAGCTCACGTCTGATGAAGCGTCGTGTTTTTGGATTTATTCCCGTCAAGCTGGTGTGTTTTACAATATGTGATATATGAACTTAAATGAAACTGTATAATGTTAAGGCCTTTTTTTTTTTTTTTTTTTTGCAATTATAGAGATGCACTTCTAACCAAAGACGTGAACAGGGACTGGGAGGGATGGACCAAGCGGGTAAATGAAGGTCTAACTGTGAGGGGTTTGGCAATAAAACGGCATTCCTCATTCACATCTTAAACTTCCCATCACTCACATACAGACTGACAAACCCCGCCCACTTCCCATCCAACACACCAGCCGCCCAATAACAGGTGCCAGATTCCCCCCCCCCCCCCAAAAACAATCCCGCCGTGACAGCAGAAACATGCTCACATATGATGCACATCTAAACCAGGAAGACTTGTCGTCATTCAATACAGAACCAAAAACAAAAGAGAAGGTATCACAACCCAACACCTTCCACTCATTCATGAGCACAAACCACACGACGTGTCTGATACAATAACGGGACCAGAGGTTCCTTTCTGGCCACAAACGGATCAAATCTGTGAAAACCACTCGAACAGAAACACGATTCAAGTAAAGCCGTTTTAAAACTGGAAAAAAGTGAAATCACTTGGAATTCTTGCATCTCAGATTCAGATTATGCTGTTTATAAAAAAGTACATTCAACAGGTACGTCAATCATGGAACCAAAGAATAACAGAGCTCAGTAGAAATCAGTAATTGCTATTGGGGGGACTGATATTTATTCTCTACTTTTCCTTTAAAACTCTCGGATTAGATTTCACAGTCTCTCAGCAAAGACAGGATTAATTAGATAACGGATTACGTTTGTTGACTCAGCATCTTAATCTCAGAGCTCTTTAGTGTCTTTCTTTACTTCATGAATCTAAGATGAGTTATTTAGAATAAATGATTGTCAGTCAGCCGTGCTCTCTGAATATGACGGCGGAAGAGAATCTCATTCTTAAAGCTACAGTTCAGAGTCACAACTATTCCATGTGTAGATGGACCATGTTGGGGGGGAAGGTGCGCTTGTTTTGTTTGTGTGGCCGGTCCAGTGACTACAAACCGTTTTAAATACCGGACAGTCTAAAGCCGCCTCTCATTCATCCAAACATTTCTCAAACTCACACCGAGTGAGTTTTTACATGTTTATGCTGTACTACAAAATAATAAAAACATGAGATGATTTAATCATAAATATATTATCATGGTTATACAAATAATTATATACTAGTACATAATTATATTTGTTTTTTAGTCCAACTGAAACAAAGTTTATAAATCTCACTGACTGATTACATGTGAAAAATAAAAAGAATCCCAGAAGCAAATGACACAAAACAACAAAGGTGCATCAACTCTGCCAAACACTTGAACATGTGCACCTGGTGATGAGTTTACATGAACGGGACAAAGATCACAAGCTTTCATTTCATAGCACAGGCTCGTCATCGTGGAAGAAACTAAAAGAGGAGGATGGAGGAAGTGAGCGGTGAGTTCATGTTGAGAGAAGACGATCTCCACGCGAGCACGTCCACCGACGGTAAGGCAAGAGAACGCTTCACCCGGGGGAGGAACATTAAGTCGTGACAGGCAACAGAAGACGAGAGGCAGGTGAGCGATGAAGCCACACAGTCAGGAAAACAAAAAGGCAGAAAATCATATTTTAAAGTGACAGCTTTTCAAAAAGAAAGTAAAAAACAAACTTCAACAGAGACCACAGGAAGCTCCACAGCTCAGTTACTGATAACAGAACATTCACTTTACCAGCTCTTCATATATTAATCATTCAATGTTTGACTTTGTTTATTGACATTGCAGACACACAGGAAACATAATTGCTAATCAAATATAATTGAAAGTTCAATGAAATGAACTTTTGAACACTTTATTTTAGCGTTATGTCTAACTTCTGATCAGACTTCTGACGACACGGTCGGGTCTGGATGCAGAGAAAAGTGCTAAATGAATTCTCTCTCCTGTTGACGTGCATGTGAAGATTACATCATCAGTGAGTTTTTGGTTTTAGTTCACTTAAACAGATTTAAAGTGACTACACATTGCGATTCTCAGCGTAGGAGGTGAAAGTACATTTTGAGATCTCCAAACATCGACAGCGGAAACAACAGCTGTGTGATAAACGCAGCGTTCACGCAGCCTGCGTTTCTTTCCATCGTGCTCGGTGAATGAGAGCGAGTGATGCTGGAGACATGGCTGCGTGGTTCTCGGGTCCGGCCAAAGATAATGATAATAAAGAAAAGAAAAATCAGAGTTCCTACAGATATGTACACGACAGATACAGGCACTTGTATATCTTTGGTTGGAAAAACCCAACATTGCAAGAGTAATGCATTCACAGAGCTTTTGTGTCCCTTATTGTATTTCCAGGGTTCACTAGGCAACTGGTATGTTTATTTAGATTTCTTTGCGTTTGTCCGTGTTACAGATACGTTCTGTAACTCTCCGAAGCCTTTTTAACCCTCTGACAGCGCCACCTGCAACACAAGAAAGTGGGTTTTAGTGCCGCTTACAAACTCACGACGGGGGAATAATGACTTAACCCTCGGAACCCCGAGCAGAGTCGGCTGCGGTCACATTCTCCTCTCTGTGGCCGTGATTTCCACTGTAATGGAAAAGTCCTGCTCCTCCAATGGAACCAGAACAATCATGACTAGAAGTAGAGAGAACTCAAACATGTCGAAAAGTGTTACCAATGTTGGAAAGAAAAATGGCGGCTCCGTGTGCATACAGATTGAACTATTTACGTGTTCAGCAGCCTGAAGTTCTGTCCAAGTTTCACCAGATTGTTGTCACATGACTGTTGGTCTCGGACTAATCAGTCATGGCTTCATAGTTGGGCTGAGGAGCTCACAATGTTCTTTACACAATCTGTTTAAAGCAAACCGTTTATTTGGGGAAAGATTTTAAATGAGACGTGTAGAGTAAAATGTTTCTGATGAAATAACAATTTGAATGGAAGCACTCGTCAGACACGATGTGTTCAAGGACCGTCGGAAAGATGAAAATCTGGCAATGACGACGGTTTTTACAGCTTCTGGCTGTGATAAACGGTGCAGTTTTGTAGATTGTTTAAAGAAAACATGCTTTTCAATCCCGCTGGTGTGTTCTGGGGTTCAGAGGGTTAATGCAGTAAATCAATTGTTCAGAGCAACACAATAATAGAAATATGGACAGGGGCAGTGACATTACATGGAATTCAATCAACAATAATTCCACACAGACGTGCCTGTACTGTGGACAGTTATCAGAGAAACAGTGTGATTGGATCATGTCTGTTAAACCGATCACTGGTCATTAAATGCGTTGCTGAAGCTACCTGTTCTCGTCATATAGCACTGCTGGTGTCTGCTGTACCTTCTCAGGACACATGTCGGGGTTGTTTTGACGCACTTTGCCGGGCCGCCCCTTGATGACGGCGTAGCAGAACATCGTGATGACCATGACGAACAGGAAGTAGCTCGTGTGCATCAGGTGCAGGTTGATGAGGGAACGGTCATCCTGGAGAGGCAGTTACTGCAGGTTAGGGTCTAACTTCATGACATCACTAGGAGTCTGTTAAAAATAACTTGATGCAAGCTGATGAAGACTTTTAAAGAGGTTTTAATGCCAAATACATTAAAGACTACTTTTAATTGTGTAATAAGCCTGAAGAGTAAAGAAATAAAATCCTGGCTAGAATTAAAGCATTTCCAGACATTTTAATTTGGGAATGAAACTGGAACATCGATCTAAAGCTCACAGCATCGCTGCTGAGATGAGGTACCTGCAGCACAGCAGATATCGAATAGTTTCCAGACTCTCTGGAACCGTTCAGTGGTCAACAGGATCATTGTAATCCTGGAACAATCTACCGCCGTCCGTATGGAACGATGACTAAATGGTTCGGTCACATTTACTGTGTTTTTATAAAAGGGGTGAGTGAGTGATCCTATAATCATCTTTTAATCCCATTACACAATCATTCTGTTATTTTGGGGATTTTCCTGTGTTGCGCTGCGTGCAACGACTTTATAACTACAACATGTGTAATGTGAGGGTGTTAAATACAACAGCATACACTAATAATCTGGCATCGGATCTGTTCAGCTCAAGTAGTAATTACATTGAAGTAAATGTTAAAAAAAAATAGAATTGACAGCAAGTAAACTGTCAAATTCTAAATGTTATCCTTCTACTTTGTTATTGTCATTTAATGTAGTTCTCTAAATAAAAACACAATTCAAATGATAAGGAAATAAAATATTGTATCTTATGTATTATAAGCTGCTTAGAGCTAGGAAGTTAAATAGGTCATAATTCATCTCTAATATCCATTTTATATTGCTGTGAAAAAATGTCCTTCAAACTACTGGATTCATTCTTTTTACTGAGTAGACCGTGAACGCATCATAATGCAAGTCAACGCAACCTCCGTTAACGTTAGCCGTTTAGCTCCGTGCTGTAGCAGAGGAGCCGGTCACTGTGATAACTGAGCAGCGTTTATGGAAATTAATTACAATATAATAAATACTTGATTTAGTTAGTTGTTTCAAATGTTCTGACCGGCAAAAAGAATCGGGAGTATTAGACTGATCGTACGGAGGTGGACGATCAGCTCGGAAACGGCAGGTTTCCTCTTACCAAAAACAACAATCGACACGTAAACCAGGAACTCTTTAATTAAAAACTAAGTCTGAATAATGTTCGCCGAGGTGGAGACTCACATCCGGGACGATGACCGTAAGCTTTGGGTTGAGTGCGTGGTACAACTTGCCGATGGCTCCTTTGTAACACCAGAAGGGGTTGTAGTCCTGACTGTACTTGGTGTCCGAGTCGCGGACTGTGGTGAACACCTTGTACCAAGATGTGGCGTTGGTGTACGTCTCGGGCACGCAGTGAGGCGGCTGCCTACAAACCAAAACAAAGATAGATAACTGCTGTCACGGAAGTGTTCACATTATGTCAACGGGGAAAAAGATTTATAGTTAATTATTAACACTTTTATAGTTAATATTTTTCCCCATCGTGCAGTTTGCCTTTGGGCTCCAAGAGGAGTCTAACGACCAATACCCCATAATACTTCCTGTTTGAATGAGATGTTGTGAAATACAATGCGAGACAAAGTGGTTGTACGATGCATGCATGTCCATGACCTCCATCCCCTTTATGTTATCGACTTATCGTACGATATGTCCATGACCTCCATCCTTTTTATCTTATCGACTTATCGTACGATATGTCCATGACCTCCATCCTTTTTATGTTATCGACTTATTGTACGATGTCCATGACCTTCATCATTTTCACATTATCGACTTATTGTATGTTATATGTCCATGACCTCCATCATTTTTATCTTATCGACTTATTGTACGATACATGTCCTTATTTTTACGTTATCGACTTATTGTACGATATACGACCATGACCTCCATCCTTTTTACGTTCGACTTATTGTACGATATATGTCCATGACCTCCATTATTATCGACTTATTGTACGATATGTCCATGACGTCCATCCTTTTAAAGTTTTCGACTTATTGTACGATTTAGGTCATAGATTTATTGTACGATATGTCCATGACCGCCATTATTTTTACGTTATCGACTTATTGTACGATATATGTCCATGACCTCCATTATTTTTCAGAAAACAAGATTGTCACAAATGAGGCTACCTCGCTCGCTGCTAACAGAGCTAGAATATAAACTGTATTTATAGTTAGACACCAGCTAGCGATGCAAGTTTAACATTACCAGACAACAGATGGGATTTGGCCAACTCATTAAATGAACACGTATTGTTTACAACATTATCATTCCAGCTGATGAAATGGGAAGCTTGGAAATGCAACTCTCCTTGGTTATATAATACAAGCAGCAAAAAAACAAGCACCGCGTTGAACTGCTATCTGACTGACCCCAAAGAAAACAAGTCCAGCAGATCGACATGAAATTGAATGAAAGCTGAACAATTCATCAGTGTGTGTGCTAACAAATAAAGCAATCAGACAGCAGAGTGGTGCACACAGCAAATCCAACCATCTTAAGAACCACTCCACCATGACAAGAATATAAAATATGCTATTAAAAGTCTGTCATGGATTTGAGCTCCAAGACTAAACTGTAGAGATGTTTTCTCAGAGACATTGTCAGGAAGCACCAATAGTTCTCCTCAAAATATAATCAGAAATGTTATGAAGGTATTGAGTCAATAACTTCTGGAGTCTTTCATTGTGTCGGTCTCACTCAGCTCTAGGCAGAGATATACAGCGTGTCCCTGAGAGTCAGGGAGGCCGTCCAACTCACACTGTGACTGGGAAGATATTGCTGGCCGCCGTGATGGTCATGCAAGTGCTGAACACCACCTGCTCGCAGTGGCCGTGCAGCACACACTCGTCTGAGTTCCAGGATACAGGCAGGGTGAAAGTGATGTTTATTTCTTCATGGGCTTCCCGGCCTACGCACAAAAAACAAAAAAACAATGTGAGCTTTTCAGATTAACGCGATGACGGAGTCAGTTTTTCCTCATTCCAAGTTGTTTTTAGGCAGCGGTGTATTTCAAAGAAACCTCACCAATGAGCACAATTCACAGGCCTCTTACTTGCATATCCCCATTCCCTTTATTGTTATGTTGACGTGGGAATAATTGCCAGCCACGAGCAGACTAAAGCAACATAAAGGCCTAAAGAAGGTGACCTTTTAGCTCCGACAAGTTAAGCGTAGAACAGGCTCAACAGCATGCAGACAACTCCCACAGCAGGAAACCAGGGAGAGCCACAGCAGCAGTTTCTGATGCCGGACCAAGCTACCTCCATGATTTTGTAGGCTTATGCAATATTTATCAAACTGCAAAGGGAATTGGAGGATCATCAGTCAAACACTCCTCGGTGTGACTAAGTAATGAAGTGGTTGTGTCAACATGATTGCGTATCCAAAGGGGGACAAATATGGACAATGAGTCTCACAAGCAAAGTCAAACTGACGAGGGCGTGACAGTTTGAGCCGTTCTAGTCCTCGTGTAAAAGATCACAAAATGGAATTTGTGTCAAATTGATCTGAAGGCTAATTAGATGGAAAAGTAGTTCCATCAAATCTAAGCAAAAACACTGTTGACTCTTATCCCACATGTGTACAATGTCATGTCAATTGTTTTTTTAAATAAATAGGATCTATTGATTCACTGCCAACATAAAGGATTCTATAGACTTTATATTCAAAATATTTTAAATGTTAGAAAAGCATAATTCTTCAGATTAGATTTTAAAATTGTAAAAATGATCATTTATACAAAAAACAATCCCAAATATCAAAAATAATCTCAAATTTACAGTATATACAGGTCTATTCAACAAAATAAGTGTACATATTCGTAGTTATATTTAATACAACTCTTATTATGTTATCAATAATATACACTATAATTGAGGACTTTTTAAAACGATTCGTCAATTTTGCAAGACTCCTATGAAAGAAGAAGCGGCCGTTTCCTAGGTTCTCTCTTCTCCATTGGGAGCTATATGCAGACGACTACTTGCTCAATGCAACACTGCATTTGCATCGCTTGTTATTGACTTTGCTCATCCAGTCGAGTGGGTTTAAAATTTAAGACACAAGCGCATGTTGTTGGCAAACAGCTGATCCCGTTGCCGAGCCAATAGCCCCATAAAGTGACAGACAAACAAGGGCCTGAAACAATGGAGAGATTGTCTTTAGGGAAATTCAGTACATAAAGTATTTCACATTCAGTGAAAGCACCAAGACATCGATCCGCAAAGGGGTGAGATCATCAGCTGGTGTTGTTTTCACCGGGTGAGTACTTTACCAGGTCTTTACATGTCTGGACAGATTTAGTAACCGGGCAAGATGCAGTTACGGAACGTTACAGAAGTGTACTTGAGATCACTACGAAGGTGGAGTTTGGTCCGAGCAAGAGCGACAGAAGTAAAGCGGTAGGAAGGAAGTGGGGAAGGGGCCATTTTGATGACAAAACACAGACGGGACATCCTCTCATTGCACGGGCCAAAACACCGGTGGCAGTAACTTGATGATTTAGCAGGAAGCATTTATAAAGTCCCCTGAAAGCGTTGAATTTTCCATAAACAGACGTTTATGAACTTACCATTAATTCATTGTCTTTGTTTACATTGTGCTTTTTGCAGTCAGACGCATTGCAAGCACAAACTAAAACAGGCAATGTTGTCAGAATAAAGGTTGTGTATTTCAGTGAAATAAGTGCACATTTATGTTTCTCAGCAAAACAAAACAGTAACCATCATTGTGGAATGTCTTGATAAACCTTACAGTGAGGGTGCCAATAAAATAAATAAAGACCCTTAATTACAACAGTTCTGATCAGTCAGGAAAAGGAGTTTATTTTTAAAATAATAGCTTTTTACAGACCGTGAGCTAAAATAAGATAGAAGCCTAATTGTCCTTTACAATAATCCACTAAATGTTTCTTATCAAGATCAGAGAATATGAAGGACAGAAACAAACTAAATTTGGGCTTTTAGACCCAAACCAATACTCCAGGGGGTCCATGCCCCCCCGACCCCGACTAGCTGGCTACTCCAAATCCCCGTGAAAAGCCGAGGAGCCGTTTCTGTGTTTGGAGCTGGAATGCCCTCCCCCTTCTTGTGGGAAATGTTTCAGGAACTGGAAGGCTGTTAAAGAGGTGTGATCACAAACGAGCGCTGAACTTTTATCAGACGCTTTGTTACCGTTTAATTCCTGTCGTGCGCTGAGAAAGCGCCGCAATGAACAAGCATCGGCTGATTGGTGAAGTAGAAATGAGGAGTTATGCGTCAATACCTCATTTAACTCTAAAAAAAAAAAACCTGAATTCGGTGGCAGCCTGCCGGAGGAAGATCACCTGCAGGTTTCCTCCTTGCTGTTTAAAAGGGGGCTAACCCATCTCTTGAGTCTGATCTCGTGCACAAAGCTGTAAGTACGGCTGTTGTTAAACTACTCTTCACTTAGCTTGATGGAGCATTAAATTTCATTTTCAAATCGAAGAAAGTGACTTTATTGAACTCCTGTCATGCGGTGCAGAGAGTCGCGGTGCTTTTGTTTTTCCTCAATCAAATATTAATTTTCATATCTGTTTTTACTATTTGTCAATACACACGTACACTGAGCATGGAAGCACATTAGTTTGATGTAGTTGCATCTCTGATCCTTGTATTGATTTTCCAATACATCTCTGCTAATCTTCTCCGCCCCACCTGATTTCCTTTGCTACACAAACTGTTTAATTCTGAACACTGACTTCAGGGCAAATACAAAACGAGAAGAAAGAGAACCTACCGGATAGGCCGACTTGCTGCCCCAGCACTGTGGCGTACAGGTGGGTGATGTTGCGAGAGTAGCCTCCAAAGGGGCGCTGGGGGTCCAGCGTGAGGGTGATGGGGACCGAGATGTTGATGGCACCCGAGTCGTCCAGCAGGAGGGGAACCTGGGTGCTGGAGCGAGCCTGGCCGCTGGTCACCACCATGCTCTCTGGCGTGGTCGACTCGTTCAGACCGTGCTTTATCGTCTCGTTCTCCGACACACAAAGGTCCAGCTCATTGAAGCGCAGCAGAAAGGTGTTCCAGTCCTGAGGGATGGGACAATATGTTGGGATCAACCAAACACCATTACCTGACTGTCAATGTAGTCATTTTGCCATGCACAGAACTTACGTTAACCTAGTTATGAACTGGCAGATGATATCTTAACTTACTGTTTCCATATCCACTTTACAAACCATCAAAGTATGATACTCCCTATAACCTACATGCTTCTTGAGCAGGTTGAACAGGCTGCGGTGAGAATCGTCTTTTGATCTCTTCGCAGGCACCTCTTGTCACCAATATCCCTGATGCTTCTTAGAAGGATACCAATGCACAACAGCACACTTTATTCACACTTTGACTGGTTTTAATGTGACTTTTTTGTTGTCAATTATGTGTGTATTAGAGCCAGGTGGAAAGGGGGGGGTCTGATGTACTGTATAGCTTGCACAGTACATCAGGAAAACCTGGATTCCTTAATTCGTATAATAAAACAAGCTTCTTCAGCCTCACAGACTGAGCTGGGTGAGACTTGAAAAGGTTGAATAGGTCTTTGTGTTTCTGCACAATGTTGGGCAAATGCATCGTTGTGGCATGAAGCCAGCCACAAAGGTCGTGAACTGACACTTGGCCTCAGCAGTGACCACATGTTTCGGGTACCTGAGAGACTCTTAACGGAGCAGACGATTTAATTTCCTCTCCTTTAAAGAACTCACCTCTGTCAACTCTGGAGACTTGATCTCCTTAATCTTGAAGAAATAACCGATGGTCAGGAAGGCGATGGCCACTGCACTGACACTGATCATAAAAAGGACCAGCGGTGGACGGTTGTTGATGTAGCTTCTCAGGTTCTCTATAGGATTTAACAGGTACACCTGCGAATACACAACATGCCAACATTTGAGCAATGACCTCGTGCATCACAGGGGGTAATAATTAGCCTCCGCACAGACACTTTAAATGATTAATTATCTTTTATGGGTGCAACGGATCATAAAACACACGGTTCAGAGCGCAGCTTTGAGACACGGATCGGCACAAAAAAAAGGAGGAAAAAAACCTTTAGAAATGCCTGATACATTGACCATCATTGGTGATCATTATCGGCCAGTACAGATTTTGTTTTCTTATAGCAGCTGGTCTACGCGCTCTAAAGTCAGTACAAACCAAAGTTTTAACTTTTATCCTTTTACTTTGTCATTGTCATCTACAGTGGGTGTTTTTTGCAATAAAACAATCCATTAAATCCTGGCATTGGTAGTTTTATTAACTGTACAGAGCTACTGTTACAGGTCTGAAATCACTCATTTTATGTTGCTGTGAAAACATCTCATTCAAACTACTGGATTTATTCAAGTTTCTCACCAAAACTACATTTGAACACATCCTGACAACGTTATAATTTACCTTCGCCTTCACAGATCTTACCTGAACAGTGGATAATAACTGCCTGGCCATAAACTCTCAAAACTCAGGTCAAAATAAATGTGGTGACGGGTGTGTAGCAGTCAAAGGACATTTGTTTTAGGGTTTAAATCAGGCAAAAGGTAGTTAAGTTTGAATCAAAGTTTATATCTGATGGCTTTGAGCAGTCGCTACACAAGTACAGTCCATTCACCATTGCTGTGTGTTATGCACAACACGTCTCTAACAACACTTGTTCAGACAGGTAGATCCTGTTACTGCTCGAGAATAAACAAGCATCTCTGGTTCAGGATGTGAGGAACTAGTGAGTTTGCTGCTGCGACGGTTACTTTGCATCTTCCAACTGTGGAGGAAGTGGCATTGATGGTTTACATTAAGGTTTTAAACTGACATCTCTGCAGCACCGATATTCAAACTGCAGTTTAATTATCAACTGTGAAGAGTATTGCATGTTAAGTGATAGTCTTTTACTGTAAATGCTAACTATTTTACACTTACAATCTATTACACACCAAATACTGAGCATTTTTATTGGCTTCTATTTTGTTATATTCACTGTATTTGATATATATATTTAATGGCATTTTATATTTACCATCTTTCTTTTATGGAGCTTTGTGTACTTATCGGAGTGACAATAAACATCATGAATCTTAACTTAAGACGGGGTGTTATACGTTATATCAAATGTTTTACAAACCACAGTACTTTGTCATCAACTCGTTCCACTCTGGCCACAGTTAGATAGTTTGACTTGTGTTTGAAGTTTTAATTAAAGCATAAAAGAAGTACCATAACTGTTAATGCGGATCATTCACAATCATTCTCAGTACAGCTGCCTGCTCCTCCAGTACACAAAGCAAAGCTAGCTCTACTTGTGACATCATGTTGTATATATTGTGCATTTGACATTTAATATTTTTGCTCTTATTTTATTTACCTGTACCATAAATGCTGCTGTAGCGAGAAAAATGTCCACTTGCGGGATTAATAAAGTATACTTTCTTAATCCCGCAAGGGACGTTGCAGCTCATCTGAACATAGTTAGATGGATATATCCATTTTTAGTAAGAATTCAGAAGTTGACATCTTCGGGAACAGAATGTTAAAGAACGTTCATTTAATCAGCAAACTGTTCCATAGAGGTTTTATTTCACGTTGTATAAAGTAAGGGCGTGTAATTAAACAGGATAACCGTGTTTTTAAGCTTCCTTCGCAGCCAGGTGACCCGAGCTGTCAACCGTACAGCTCGATAAGCTAGCTACCTGTGACAACAATGTGACACGTTAAGGATCAAAACTGTCAACATTGCCCAAAAAAATAGCTGGCTTAACGTTAAACGTAATGAAAACAACAAGTAAACAACAACACGGTTCTCACCATTTTCTCGACGCTGGGAGGTTCGTCGCGAGGCCACAATAATAAAGGCAGCAGGTTTTTGTTTTTTTTGCTAGCAAGCTATAACGTTGCTAACGCTTGCTAGCAAAAGCTAGTTCCTCCTGATAATAATACAGCTGAAGAGCAAGAGTCGGTGTTCGGTGGAGACGACCAGACTTTCAGCGTGAGAAGCACCGCGAGTCCTCCTTCTCATCCTTTGCTTTATTAGTTCGCTGCTGCCAGTTATGAGAAATATCTTCTCGCGTAAACAGTCCCGGGAATAAATAACGTCAATAATACTGGATCTGGATCTGGATCTGGATCTGGATCTGGATCTGGATCCTCCTCCTCTCCGGCATCTCCTCCGTGCACCCGCACTGCGTAGTGGTGAAGCGTCGCAGCGCCGCCTTTTTATCGTTATTTACGTACGACGTGTGCACGAAACTGGGCTTCTTCTTCTTTTCAATTTAAACCAACGTTTAAAGTGCCTGCAGCGCCCTACTGGACCGGAGTGTGTAACACATGATTTTATGACAAGTTATAATTTAAACACAATAATAATGTTATTTATAAATTTAAAAACAACAAAAAACAAAACAAAAAATAAATACACATAAGCAAAATAAATAAATAAATTATAATAAATAAAAAAAAAATAATAAAATAAAATAAAAACTTTTTAATTTTGTTTCTTTTTACATATTACAGATATGCAGTTAGGTGGTAGAAGTTCACTGACTAGTTCATCCATTGTGGGTGCTCTCTTATTATGTGAAGTGCTCCACTTCAGCAGATGGCGGTAGATACCTCCTGCTACTTGTTTAAAGGTCCACCGTTTCTCCATGAACACCAACCATAGATGTATAGAGAGAATCCAGTGGGCATTGTGCAACCTGCAACATGCTGTAGCCCATCGGCTAGTTACGTCAAGTTACCAAAGACCTACCGTAAATGTGATATTTATCCTTCCAAATAAAGCAACATTATCACCTTATGGAACAGAAATATGCCCCTCACATGGTGTTTGAGGTGAGGAAAAAGTATGTGCTTATTACATTACCATTGTAAACCTAATGAGTTGTACTTTAAATGTAATGAACACATTTATTTACGGTAATATAACTTTTATTTTGCAGACCTAAACCGGAAGTGGATCTCATCTTTATAAAACTAACAGCACTTTACTTGACACTGGTGAGCTCTTGGCTAACAACAATGAGAAGTGCTAGCTGCTAGCTATTATAAACGTGCCATCACATTTGACTAAGCTTCTATAAGGTAACTGCAGTAGCTAACATCATTTTGTGCAAAGATATTAGCGACATGGCAACTTAGTTTCGATAGCTAGTTGTGCAATATGTATAATAATATAAGCTAGGCTAGCCGGTTACGTGTACGTGGAAGTGAGGGAGTAATGTGGCTAAAGCTAATCAATAGTTAGCCAAACAATTGCCTTGGTCGTGTAACGTTAAACATTATATTAACGTGTTAAAATGATATAAAACGCAATAGCGTAATATGCTACCTAAAGAAATATTGTTCATGTAACGTTAATGCAGTAACAGCTACATTTTGGGTAATTTAGTAAACAAAGTGAATGCTAGCTATATGTTAACGTTAGCTAGAACTGTCGAATTGCATTCTGGGTAGTAATGGTGGGATTAGCATAAATTGTACTGCTAGTAATTACCCATTGCTGGCTGCCATTGACGATAGAACTGTCGACTATTTCCTCGATTAATCAATTAGTTCAAGTAAGATAATCCTTTATTTAGTTATATATATATATATAATTTCTTTTTTTTTTACAGTAAACCAGAAAATATTTACTTTTAAGAAGCTGGAATCATCACAATTTTTTACTTTTCTTCTTAAGTAATTACTCAAACCGTCTAATTGATTATCAAAATAGTTGCCTATTAATTTAATAGTTTATTTAATTGTTTACCAAGTTAGAAATCTAATAAAGATTGAACTGTGTCACTATGTATAGCACAGTCTCTGGGCTGTTTGTATTATGTTGTGTTGTTTTAATGTAGTAAAGTGTATATGGAGAGATGAGTCAAGAGGAGGACCCTTGTCTGCTGTCATTTGGGTTGATGATACATTTATTGGTGAAGAAACAAGTAGAAATGTAACTTAACCGAATCAAGATATTGTGTTTAAACCGTGATGAGTGAAACATTATCCCAAACAGCGACAGGCTCATGTAAATCTCTTCAGGGCCCACTTGTTTGGCCCTTTTTAATGATTATTGCTGAGCCCTTTACTCCAGATGATTGTTCCAGTAATGTCAAAGCAACAAACAATATTCATACCTTTTTAATCATTATCCCTCTTTGCTTTCTTTAGGTTGTTACTTGCCCACCGTCCCAGCTGTATGCAGAGACCACTGATTCTATCAGCACATAAGACTCTCTGTGTCGGCCTACAGCGTCAGCAACTTCAGAAAGCGTGCAGAGCCCCTTCTGTCGCTCCATGCGTTAAACCTCTATCTCCCTCCACCGTTCATGCGTTACATTTTTGCCGGCAAATCCATAATTTCTCCTTGGTATCCAGACTCCTCCAGAACAACCCTCCTCGGCTTTCCCTACGTCAGTGTTTCTCCGCCCTGCCAGACATGGCAGAACAGAAGTTCATCGTGGAATACGCCAAACGCGGTACTGCAGGATGTAAGAAATGCAAGGACAAGATCCCCAAAGAAGTGGTGCGCATAGGGAAGGTTGTGCCAAACCCCTTCAGCGAGTCTGGGGGGGAAATGAAAGAGTGGTATCACGTGAAGTGTATATTTGAGAAGCTGGAAAGAGCGAGAGCCACTACCAAGAAGATTGAGGACATCACAGATCTGGAGGGCTGGGAGGAGCTGGAGGACCAAGACAAGGAGATCATCAATAAACATGTTTCAGGTACAGTCACACACTCACAATCACCTTTTAATACTATTTAGAAGCCTGAACGTTGTAGCTCTGGTTGTCTTTTGTACATGGATCACTCTTTATTGTGGATTGTAGGCAGTTTTAATATCACTGGTCACTGCTGTGTAGCAGCACTGATCTCTGAGCACTTTAAAAGGAAGATTTCTTTTGTGATCGATACACCGTCATATATTTCGAAAGTCAGCATTCAAAGAAACTGACCAGAGGTTGCAGTGCAGTGCTGATACAGACTTATTTATCCTCAGAACCTCGATTTGCAATATTGCCCAACCAGTTAAAGAGCACCGGTCGATTGATTCACTCCTGCAAAGGAGATCATGTCATTTAATCAATAACTGATAGACAATAAAACAGAATCCAAAGGCATCGCAGTACAGATATCTCTCACTTTTCAGTGTTCTGAATTAGCTGGTTCAACTATAAATGAGTAACTCTGTTCCTCTCAACACCGTGCTAGGTGTGTCTCACATTAATGCTCCAACTGTCAGCTGACCTGTTAAACCAGAAACAAGTAATTAGATGGCGTAACATTCCAGGATCATCGATGGGAACATGTTGTCAGGACCATTGAGCTGTGTGATTCTACTCTACCACGTTCTTTAGTGATTTTAAAAGGTTAACAGTCAAACAACTCCACTGGCTTCACCATTGTCTCTACATCAGATGCCTGTGGGCATGTAAGCAAACACACCGACACACGTGCAGCGTTGCCTTGTTCCTGTTCTGACAGGAACAACAATATTTGGATGTCACTAATGCAACAGAAATGTATTTGTTTCACGTCGCGTGTTTTGCTTATTACTGTCCCAATCCCTAAGAATTGGTTACGTATTTCTCAAAATGACAACCTGTCGACCTTTACCGTCGAGTCCTGATCGGTAAGGTGTGGTCTCTCAGCTCAAATGGTTCCATGTTTGTTCTGAAGTATTCGTCTTGTCTCGCAGACCTGATGGCCAAAGTCAATGCCAGTCCAAAGAAGAAGGTGCAGGCCAAGATGAACACCTCTGGTCAGCTCATGGCTCCTCCTGCTGACCCATCTGTCAACACGCCGCGGAAGTTCTCAGGCTTCACTGGTAAGAAAGGACATCTCGGGTCATCTCAGTGGTCACTCACATTCACAACAGAGGAAACGATAAGAAGCTGCTCAAAGTTACAACACAAGCATCTGAAGCAAGGAACATTTCCCCATTCTGAGACAAAAAGGAACATCTTGGATCAGAAAGGTTCTGCCTGATGATTCACTCATGGATTAATGTGCCCTTTACATGCCACACCTTTTATCAAATAGTGTTTGCATCTGCATTAACCCTCTGAACCCCAAAACCCGCCCGCGGGATTGAAAAGCATGTTTTCTTCAAACAATCGCAAAAACTACACTGTTCATAGTAGCCAGAAGCTGTGAAAAACATAATTATTGTCAGATTATCATCTTTCCGACGGTCCTTGAACGCATCATGTGTGACGAACGCTTCCATCAGAAAAAGCAACTGAAACTAAGCTTAGAATTGTGATATTTCATTCAGCAGCTTTGTCAAATTGGTCTCATGACATGTTCTGTTTTACCTCATTTCTCCGTCAGCTGCGAAAGCTGGCAGCTCTGGCAGCTCCAGCAGCTCCAGCAGCCCGGGACCTCCCTCTTCCTCCTCCTCGGCCACAGCCAGCCAAGGCAGCCCCCTGTCCGCCCAGCTTTGTGACCCCCAGCACAAGGACTGCCTCTTCAGAGAGTTTCGCAAGCTCTGCGCCACGGTGGCCGAACACAACAGCTACAACGTCAAGACGCAGATTATTGAGAAGTTCCTCAGGAAGGGCTCAGGTGGAGGTTGGTATGATAATCACTTTCAGCACGACATCATGTGACAGAATCCCAAAACGTTTCCCCTAAATCTTCTTTCCTCCCGTCCCAGATAAGTTCCATGGAGACCTGTTCCTCACGGTGAAGCTGCTGCTGCCGGGCGTTGTGAAAAGCGTCTACAACCTCAACGACAAGCAGATTGTTAAACTCTTCAGCCGCATCTTCAGGTGCAACCAGGACGACATGGTGCGCGATCTGGAGCAGGTCTGTGATCCGTGTGTTCCCCACACATGTTCAAACATGTTTTAGAACTAAAGTCTTTCTCCCCAGCGATTATTCAAAGCTGCTTCGTTGATATTCTGTTTGAAAACATGTGTTTCAGGTGGATTTTATTCTGAGCTGAACTTAGTCTGTTGACATTGCATCTTGAAAGTCATTTTTTTTTTTTTTTTTGAAGGGCGATGTGTCTGAAACAGTGAGGCTGTTCTTTGACGAGAGTAAATCATTCCTCGCGGCTACCAAGAGCCTCCTGACCATCCAGGAAGTGGACGCCTCACTCACCCGCCTCGCTCTGCTGACCAAGGAGGACGAGCAGCAGACCGAGCTGGAGGAAATCTCCAAAAAGTAATGCAGCGTTTCATTTTCACTTTCACATGAACTGGGCTGGGTAGTAACACGGCACAGTTAAGGTAATTCAGTGAAATGATAGAAACCGTTTATGCTCAATGTCTGTTCGTTGCATTATTGTTGGGGAGCACAAACATAATGAACTGTGAAGAAGCAAAGACCAACGAGTGTAACTCAGAGATACGACCATAGACTGTAGGCGTAATCTGCAAAAAGCCACAAACCAACCTCCACAATAATGAGCAGAGATTGACTGTACATTTATATCTCATATTCATAGATTACTTTATTTCCTTCATACAAGTCCTGTAAATATAGGAGTTAAGTATTAAACAAAGGTTGAATATCATGAAAACTATTTTACTCAAATGTAGATTTTTAAGACCTGTTTCTAAAGTCCCTAGACACGTAAATAGTGTTTTTATTATCAGTGAACTTTTTGTGACGACACGTCTGAAAAGCTCTGATCGCACGCGTCAAGTTAAAAAAATTCAGAGTTGCGCGACCAAGCGGCGCGGAGCCTTCATGCACGACGCTCAGGCCTTGATTACGTCATTTTTCGGCACGCAAACATAAACCTGACGGTGGAGAATGCAGCTGCTCGGCGGAGTCCATCTTTGTTTAACCTCATGCTCGAGCTACGAGCACGCACAAAGACGTTCACGCTCAAGGCGCTGTTCGCTGCAGTATTCTCCAAAACACCAGAGGGCGTACCAACAATATTCTGTGAAGAAGCAAGAAGACAAACGTCATTAACCAACCTCCTCAATGTCTGGAATGATTTACTTTCAAACTTTTTTGCTCTGGTGCTCAAATACTCATCGGTACATGAAATGCGTGTCCAGCTGTTTTAGGAAACTGTAGATTTATGACGCATCATGTCTTCAGTGTGATTAGAAGGGTCTGTGTCTGAGGACCACTGATGCAGACTAACCTCATGGACTCACTAGTGATCCTCATAACACGAGTCATGCCTGGTCTTTTGTAGTCCTGCCTCTCCACATGACGTCTTTATTTTGGTGCTCAACCTGTCAGCAAGTGTTCAAATTGCGTTAAAAAAGGCAAACTACAAAATGTGTAAACGTCATGAATACAGATTGTGTTTTCTTTTCACAGTATTTGTAAATCTTTCCGTTATTTGTCTTCGCTTGTGTTGCTTCCACTTCTTTTTTTTTTTTTTTCTTTTTTTTTCTTTTATTTTTTTTTATCGTTGGCATTTGGTTATTTATTCTTTTTGGTAGTTTTCCCTCCTTCTTGTTTGTCTGCCTGAGGCATGTCACACACACACACACACACACACACACACACACACACACACACACGAGACATCTGTATTTGACATTCTACGCTCCACAGTAGCAGATGTCGGCGTGGGATTGTGTTTATTTGTCATAAATAACATCTTGCAGGCTGTAATATGTGGTGCTGTGCTGAATAAAAGGTCTTCTTGTGTCGTACAGCACTGACGGGGCCGTTTATTCTGAATTCTTAGTTTCTGGGAATTCCAGTAATGCCAAGCAATGTAATTATTTAATATTTCGTTTTATTTTCCAAAGCTTTCTGGTCATAAGCAGTTAGTTTTCTGCCTCATGAATTGCTGTAATACTTTGTCATTTGATCACCCCCCCCCCCCGGTGATAATCTGCCTTCTCTTCATAGATGCACCAGTAATGACCTGAAATGCATCATTCGGCTTATTAAACACGACTTGAAGATGAACTCTGGAGCAAAACACGTGTGAGTGTTTGTTTCGGCATAGAAGCAAATGTACACTTTGAAGAAAGATTGTAATTTTTTAGCACCAATCTCAAACTCCTGTTCGTTGTTGTTCGTCGTGCAGCTTGGACGCCGTGGATCCAAATGCTTACGATGCCTTCAAGGCCTCGCGTAATCTGGGTGACGTGGTTGAGCGGGTGTTGAGGAATCAGCAGGATGCGTCTAATGGCTCGGGACCCAGGAAACTCCTCACCGTGGAGGCCTCGCTCATGACCCCCGTTCAGCCCATGTTGGTGAGCTCCAACATGAAAATGCATAAATACTTTTCAACAGTTCTAACTGATTTATGTGATTCAATGCAAGGCCGACATTCTGAACCGCCAGGATTTAAGGATGTCGCATTAACAAACAGAGTGAAGCAATTAGGGTTAAATATGAAAGGGGAGGTTTTTATACACGTTTAAAGGTGGCGATAAAGTCACTGAAGCATTTTAAAATCAGTTCCAGAGAAAAAACATGAATCCTTTTCTTTCAACAACTACGATTTCTGTCCTACAAATGACACCTGACCTTTCTGACCACATGATGTACACACGCACATAGAAAATACATCAAATGAACACGAGGAGTCCTCGTTGCCTGTGGCTGTCACATGACAGTAATAAGCCTGTCCAATCAGTTCGTTTGGCCCAAATGCAGTGTTTGGACGGGCTATCTGCGGGGTACAGGCCAGTAGCAGCAGCGACCTGTCAATCACCGTGTAGCCCCGCCCTAAAGCATCCCCTGCTTTATGGTCTGTGTGACTCTAAATGGACCATAATGTACTAAATGAACATCATGCTGTATTGAAGAAGACTTGAAACTAGAGATTGAGACCATAAACTCATGTTTACAATGTTTACTGAGGTAATAAATCAAGAGAGAAGTAGAGTCATTTTCTCATAGACTTCTGTACAACCAGAGGAGTCGCCCCCTGATGGTCATTAGAGAGAATGCAGCTTTAACACATGAAGCTTTGACTTCACTCATCAGAACCGGAGGCTGCCGCCTGGTTCCTCCGCACATCGGTTCACTAAGAGAGGAGGGACCGGCCTACCAGAGGATTGAATGAGGTGTTTAGATTTCTTCCCATTAGAGGAAAACTCCAGAAGATGAAGAGAATCTGTTGAAACCGTTTCCAGCTGCTGGCTCGTCACTAGATAACCAAACCAGGCAGCAGCTGGACCTTCTGATAACTCTGCTCTGAACACTTCTATTAATCCAGCATGATTCAAATGTGCCTCCAAAAGAAAATCTACAGACCATTAAATTTCACATTACACAGCAGACTTTTGATTACACAATATAAAAGTAAATTGAAATTCACTGCAGCTGTATAACGGTTTAGTTTACAAATGAATAACTGAAGCCAGTCCCGACTTCATGTCATTTAGGGTGACGAGCTCACCGTCAGAGCAGCAGGTGGAAGTGCAGTCACATTACCGGCATCGACATATTGATGCTGTAACTGTACCATCATCAGTATGTGAAAGTTGAATTTAAGAACTAGGGAAACTTTGAATGAAACGTTCTTACAGATGAGAGTTTGGTTCCTTGCTGAGAGCGTGTTGTTGTTGTTTTCCTGTGTGATTTCAGGCGGAGGCTTGTAAATCCGTCGAGTACGCCATGAAGAAATGTCCCAACGGGATGTACTCCGAGATCAAGTACGATGGAGAACGTGTGCAAGTCCATAAAAACGGCGACATCTTCAGCTACTTCAGCCGCAGCCTCAAGCCCGTGTTGCCACACAAAGTCAGTCTGATCTCTCACACACACACACACACACACACACACACACACCAATTACTATGGCAATGCATGTCAGAGTAGAACCTCCTCAGGTTTGCTGGATCAGCAACTTCCAAGGTATTTTCCCAGCGTGAAATTCAGACATTTCTCATACACTCACAGCAACCTTGAACCCCAGTAAACCTCAGGAAGGGACACCAGGTAAAGAAGCCTCTGTAAAGACCGCCATTATCATCAGATTTTCATCTTTCCGACAGTCCTTGAACACATCATGTGTGACGAACGCTTCCGTCAGAAGAATCTGCCAAAATGAAGCTTAAAATTGTGATTTTATTCTACATGTCTCATTTAAAATCTCACCCCAAATAAACAGTTTGCTTTAACCAGATGCTGTAAAAAACATTAAATTCTGAGCTCCTCGTCGGCTTAAAGCACGTTATTATTGAGTTTGTTTCACCGGGCCTGGTAATAACCTGGGATGCTGCCAGTCTCTCAGGTCCGGCCTTACTAGCTGTTTGAAACGCGTCTTGTTTCCGCTCCGTACCTAAACCCCGCGTCTGTGTTTCAGGTGGCCCATTTCAAGGAATACATCCCCCAGGCTTTCCCCGGAGGCCACAGTATGATATTGGATGCTGAAGTTCTTCTAATTGACACAAAGACCAGTAAACCCCTTCCCTTTGGGACTTTGGGTGTCCACAAGGTGAGAACACACAGATAATGTGCACCTGGTTGTTGTTTTTGTTGCAAGATGTCACTGTTGTCACACCTCACACGTTCCTCTCTCCTCAGAAAGCCGCCTTTCAAGATGCCAAAGTTTGCCTTTTTGTTTTCGACTGTATCTACTTCAACGGCGTGAGTCTCATGGAGAGGTAATGTGTTTTCATGATAATATTTATAGAGCACTTTTCAAAATCCATGTTACAAAAGGAAAGAGACGATTCATAAATCATCAGGTTTTAAAGAAAACTGATCAAAAAAAATGTGGTGAATGAATATAAGACAGAGTAGAAAAAGCTAAGAATAGCAAAAGAAAACAATTTAAAAATGAAATTTAAATCAGGAAAGGCTCTCTGATAAAACTACATTTTAAGAAGAGACTTAAAGGTGTTGAATTCTAAAGTGAGTGCATATAGATTGAGGGATTGTCTCCACACGGCTCTCAACATGGCGACGGCTCAGCCAGCGGCGCCAACCTGAGGGGGGGCCTTGAGGGGGGGGTGCTATGATTCTACGAGTCTGTGACGACGCCGTGGGTCAAACCGGGGGGCCGTCAGCTAACACTCGCATTCACTCGCTGCTTACAAAGCAAGTAGTAGTTTGTAGTTGTTTGCTGCTCTATAAATGCTCTGAATATGTAATTCAGATCCTTTTAAAGGACAGCACTGACTCAGCCGACCTGACTTCCTCGGGCAGTGTGCAGCTGGGCCTCTGCTTGAAGATCTCAAAGAACGTTCCAGCGCGTACGGTACTAAGTCAGACATATAGAGAGGTCATGAAGATAATCAGTATAATCTATTCTAAAACATACCGGGCTCCAGTGTGAAGAGGCTGAGACGGGAGTGATTGGTCAGGGAGGTCTGTACAGTCTGGAGTCGGTCAATAGAGGTCTGGTTCAGGGAAGTAAAACGGCTGTTTTAGTAATCCAGGCGTGTGAAATGGTTTCTGTCCAAAGTTAAGATGGATCATAGTTTTATGTAGAGATTCTATTTAAGTTTGTTTTTCTCTGGTTTTGGTAGTTTTACTTCAGATTTTCTTCACTGTCAGTATTAATCCCAGTATGTGAGGGAGGATCAATTATTGAAGGATCAATTAAAGAACGAGGATGAATCTTTGGTATTTAAAGTACTTTTGTATCATGTAGTTGTGTAGATATATGTAACATTAATACCTGGTGACATTGTTAATGGAACATCTCTCCTGTCTTGTTCTGCAGGCCTCTGTCTGAGCGCAGGAAGTTCCTGCATGACAACATGGTTGAGGTGACCAACAGGATCCTGTTCTCAGAGATGAAACACGTCACTGTAGGTTCAACTCAGAATCTGGCTTTCTGTCGTATGAATACATCTGTCATGGCTCATTGTGTGTGTGTGTGTGTGTGTGTGTGTGTGCGTGTGTGTGTGTGTGTGTGTGTGTGTGTGTGTGCGCGTGTGTGCGCGTGCGTGCGTGCGTGTGTCAGAGGGCCGGAGATCTGGCTGAAATGATAACTCGAGTCATCAGAGAGGGACTTGAAGGCCTGGTGCTAAAAGACTTAAAGGTGAGTTGCTTTATTAAATCTCCAAATGTAAAGAAACTGGTGGGAATATGTGTGTAATGTGCATAACATGCATACGTTATACTGATACTACACTATAGTTATACAGTCATTGTACCGATGATTATCTGTTTGTCTCAGGGCACTTATGAACCGGGGAAGCGCCACTGGCTGAAGGTGAAGAAGGACTATCTGAACGAAGGCGCCATGGCCGACACGGCCGACCTGGTGGTGCTGGGGGCCTTCTATGGAAAAGGCTCGAACGGTCTGTAAAGCCCTGATCATCCACTTCTGTATGCACTGACCTCTCTCTCTTAATGCTCAGCCACTTCCTGTCAGATGAGGAGTGTGACTCTGGAGACCGCCAAGTTAGCAGTTTTAGAAGTCCTATTGAAAAGACAAGCGTAGCTACGGCCCGTCATCCGATCATGCCGAGATCAGATCTCGCATCCTGTGTTTGAGCCCCGGTTAGCCCGTACAGTCCAACGGCAGAGGGAAGGGAGACGACACAAGCTGTCAGACTTTCCTCAAACCTGCGGTCAGAATGAACTTATATTGTACTTTTACAGTCAAATGAGAGATGAGGAAAACAATTCACACTTTAACTTCTTTTCTTTTTTATTGAAACAAAAACGGCTTCAAGGATTTATATGAAATGAAATGCGTTTATCCACCTTTTTACGTCCGCTTCTTTGACCATGAAATACATCTGATCAAGATTCAAGGATCATTTGTAATTCTGCAACAGTTTTATCAGTACGGACACTTAATATGCGTCTCGGTTGTTATATGAAACGATTTGGTGTGAAAGCACTTGAAACTGTGTACCCTCGTAGATCAGTGGGTTCAAATATAATCTGCTGTATGAACTCTACTCGGTGAAATTAACAGTACAACTCTTTAACACTATGAATACAAACACGCAGAGTATAGAATCCAGAGCGGGAGCATTTCTAAATCCACAGAGGACCCGTGGTGCATGAGGAGAGGAGGCCTGGTAATGAGCACGTAGCACAATGGAAGCATTACAAATGCAGAGACAATGGTACAAATCTCAAAAGCACGGCTCATGCAGTGGGAAGAGCAGAAACAACAAATCAGATGAAAACCCCGTTAACATACTGTGGGACAGAAGTGGAAAGTACAAAACAACAGTTTCCAAGTGGATTTGAAGAGGCTAATTCTGTGGAGTTATACCATGTAGGAGTATATAATGTATCCACTGGCAGCGCTTCCTAATGCCGTGTGTGTTCTTCTACCCACCAGGGGGCATCATGTCCAGTTTTCTGATGGGCTGTTACGACCCACACTCCAGGAAGTGGTGCACAGTCACCAAGTGCTCGGGAGGCTACGACGACGCCACCTTGGCCCGGCTCCAGAAAGAGCTGGATGTGATCAAAATCAGCAAGGTCAGAGAGTTTCCACTGACAGGCCTGTCTGGAGTATTGAGATGATCTAATAGAACCAAAGATTAATCGTGTGTGTGTGTGTGTGTCTTTGTGTAGGACCCAAGCAAAATCCCAGGCTGGCTGAAAATCATCAAGAACTATTATCCAGATTTCATTATTCGAGATCCTCAGGTGAGATTTGGCGATCCAGCACATTTGTATTTCCCAGATGGTCTGTTGGTACGCAACCGAATGCATATCTGGGTACTGCAGACCTTTTTAAATGAAGCAATGAGGGGAAAGCATCTCTTGCATATATCTTCTGCAGAAATGTCTCGAGATAACGATCACCTCACGCCGCAGAGCCGGGAGGTGTTTTCAACCTGAAAGCAGTTTTGCATGAAAACACATAACTTGAGAGATTGAAAACATTTGATTGAAATGACCCTTTCTGGCTTTCAAGTCTGAAAATAGAACTATAGTATCGTAGTAATGAAATCCACAAACTGCATGACTTCCTCCCCCCATATCTGAACAGAAGTTAGAATTGCTTTTTACTTCTATGGAAACGCGTTCATAGAACTCGTCCTTTATTTTTCCTCTGCTGCAGCAAGCACCTGTCTGGGAGATCACAGGCGCAGAGTTCTCCAAATCAGAAATGCACACCGCTGACGGCATCTCCATCCGCTTTCCCCGAATGACGCGCATCCGTGATGACAAGGACTGGAAGACTGCCACAAACCTGGACCAGCTTAAAGTAGGATATCACCCTTTCTATTCAAATACACAGGCCGTGGTCTGATGCATGGGGGTTTAATAATGTAGAGTTATTCCAGAGAAAAATCAAACCATAGACACTTTATTTTGATGGGATACTGCTCATTCAAGGACATGATTTAAACGTAGTTAACTGAAGGCCCCATGGGAGATGGTTAACCATTAACCAACAGGTTTCAATGAGATGTTACTGAATACCTAAAGTATATGTTCTGGGAATGCTTGTTGGTTACTTTAAACAAACATTGGCAAATTAACTGAGGCAGTAAAACACAAGTATTTAAATGCAACACAGTACTTCAATCTGTTGTGACACAAAATACAACGTCTCTTGGCTGAAGCTCACGTGGTCTTTCCGTCACTGTGCTTAGGACCTCTTCCGCATATCGAAGGAGAACTGTGACTTTAAAGTGACAGCCGGACCGTCTACATCCAACGATGACAAGGGCTCCTCAGGAGGGGACAGTGGAGGAAGCTCCCCGTCACCCTCGTCCCGTGGACCTCCACCCAAGAAGACCAGTAAGTACACAAACGAGCGGCATCATGGGGAGGCCGTGAACTGTGCTGCACCAGTTTCTGTGTTTTAATATTCATCATTGTTTTTTACAGTACAAAGTAATGCTTATGCAAAGGTTTACTTTTAAAGGTTCAACACAATTGTCATGAGGCATGATGTTTGCTATTCATCTTACCTGTACAATGTCAGAGAATAGTATATACAGTACAGCAGAAGTCATAGTATAGTATGTCGAAAAAACAATGTTTTCGACATTCTATACGATGACTTTTTTCGAAATACTTTACCATAAGCCTGTCGAAAATAGTCACGCAGATAGAGATGGTCGGTGGACTGGACATTGGACAGCCAAAATGATTGACCCGAGTGTGATTTCAGTTTTGCAACTGCCTCTTTATTTCGTCAATCATCAACATTCACAGACAGCAGCACACCCAAAACAAAGGTGGTAAAATCCCAGCCGAGGACTCCTGGGTCAGAAGCACCCAGTGCGAAAAAGGTATTTACTGCACACACACACACGCGACGGATGCATCATTACAGCAATCTAGAGCTGCATGGTCTGAATTGTCATTGTTCTGTTTCCTGTCAGGTGAAGAAGAGTGAAAGTGTCCACAGTAATGGACAAAGCAAAATGAAGCCAACCGCTACACTGCTGGAGCCAAGTAATGACAAGGTACGTCACCAACAGGTCGCAGGTCATCGAGTTCCAACATATTCACACTTCCATTGCCTTCGTAGGGTTTAATGGCTCATGTCTAAACTCGGTTAATAAAAATAAAGTTGTACTACACGTTGCTTGAGTTTCAGTTGAATAGTATTCTAAATGAAATGCAGATGTTGAACATGTGTACTGCTGACTGTGTTTCCTGCAGACGCTGCTGGACATCTTCAGTGGGGTGAAGCTGTTCCTGCCCGTCTCAGTGCAGGACTTTCACAAGCTCAAGCGGTACTTCGTGGCGTATGATGGCGACGTCGTACCGGATTATGACATTTCCTCCGCCACACACACGCTGGCTGGACCTGCAGAAGACAGCCAGGCCCAGAGAGTGTCACCCGGATGGATCTGGGAATGTATCCGCAAGAGGCGGATTGTACCTCCCTGTTAACGTTGCAAACAAACACAACACGTATTATGCACTGTCAACATGTCTCTTAACTACTGCACATCTGTGCAATCAATGTTATATTTATGCTTTGGACCCAAAGGTCAGATCACACTATTATGAAACTGATTTGGAAAACTGCTGTCCTTGAGTTCAATCACACACTGCTCTCAGGTCATTCTATGTATTCTGTCCCAGTCCTTTATGGTTTGTTCACAAACTAGCAGAGAACACATACAGTATGGTAATGTACTGTAGATGTAGAGTTTTTTGTTAAGCAGCTGCAAGAGGCCTGTAAATCATGAAATGTATTATTTTTACAGTATTAAACAGCAGTTCACATTTTGAGAACACAATTTGTTACCATGAGGAATAAACAAAATGTTGAAGATAATACAAGGTCTCTGTAACAATTTCTGATGCTATTTATTCCATAGTATAGTAGTGATGTTGAACCCAGGAAGATGTTTGAAGAGCGTATCGAGGCGTATGTGGTGGCCGTACAACGGGACTGATTCAGGGTGTGCAATTGGAAATGTAAGGGGCAGCGAAACGCAATGGACCCCCCCCCTCACATTTTGTGGACTTAGGACTTTGTTTGCAATCTATTCGAGCATCACAAACATTCATTTATTCAATTCAAAGCCATGGTGTCATAATCACCTGTTTTACATTTATTATCCACTTGATGGCACAATGGAGCACCTGAAGCTTCAGCCCACGAGTGAACCAATTGGATGGAATGCTTCACCTCGCCATCACTAATATACAGCATGTCAAAGAGTCATAAATATAGCATGTTGAAAAAAGTCATAGTATACAGTGGGTATGGAAAGTATTCAGACCCCTTTAAATTTTTCACTGTTTCATTGCAGCCATTTGCTAAAATCAAAAAAGTTCATTTTATTTCTCATTAATGTACACTCAGCACCCCATCTTGACAGAAAAGAACAGAAATGTAGAAATTTTTGCAAATTTATTAAAAAAGAGAAACTGAAATATCACATGGTCATAAGTATTCAGACCCTTTGCTGTGACACTCATTTAACTCACATGCTGTCCATTTCTTCTGATCCTCCTTGAGATGGTTCTACTCCTTCATTGGAGTCCAGCTGTGTTTAATTAAACTGATTGGACTTGATTAGGAAAGGCACACACCTGTCTATATAAGACCTTACAGCTCACAGTGCATGTCAGAGCAAATGAGAATCATGAGGTCGAAGGAACTGCCCAAGGAGCTCAGAGACAGAATTGTGGCAAGGCACAGATCTGGCCAAGGTTACAAAAGAATTTCTGCAACACTCAAGGTTCCTAAGAGCACAGTGGCCTCCATAATCCTTAAATGGAAGAAGTTTGGGACGACCAGAACTCGTCCTAGACCTGGCCGTCCAGCCAAACTGAGCAATCGTGGAAGAAGAGCCTTGGTGAGAGAGGTAAAGAAGAACCCAAAGATCACTGTGGCTGAGCTCCAGAGATGCAGATGGGAGAAAGTTCCACAAAGTCAACTATCACTGCAGCCCTCCACCAGTCGGGGCTTTATGGCAGAGTGGCCCGACGGAAGCCTCTCCTCAGTGCAAGACATATGAAAGCCCGCATAGAGTTTGCCAAAAAACACATGAAGGACTCCCAGACTATGAGAAATAAGATTCTCTGGTCTGATGAGACCAAGATTGAACTTTTTGGCGTTAATGCTAAGCGGTATGTGTGGAGAAAACCAGGCACTGCTCATCACCTGCCCAATACAATCCCAACAGTGAAACATGGTGGTGACAGCATCATGCTATGGGGGTGTTTTTCAGCTGCAGGGACAGGACGACTGGTTGCAATTGAAGGAAAGATGAATGCGGCCAAGTACAGAGATATCCTGGAAGAAAACCTCTTCCAGAGTGCTCTGGACCTCAGACTGGGCCGAAGGTTCACCTTCCAACAAGACAATGACCCTAAGCACACAGCTAAAATAACAAAGGAGTGGCTTCGGAACAACTCTGTGACCATTCTTGACTGGCCCAGCCAGAGCCCTGACCTAAACCCAATTGAGCATCTCTGGAGAGACCTGAAAATGGCTGTCCACCAACGTTCACTATCCAACCTGACGGAACTGGAGAGGATCTGCAAGGAAGAATGGCAGAGGATCCCCAAATCCAGGTGTGAAAAACTTGTTGCATCATTCCCAAGAAGACTCATGGCTGTACTAGCTCAAAAGGGTGCTTCTACTCAATACTGAGCAAAGGGTCTGAATACTTATGACCATGTGATATTTCAGTTTTTCTTTTTTAATAAATTTGCAAAAATTTCTACATTTCTGTTTTTTTCTGTCAAGATGGGGTGCTGAGTGTACATTAATGAGAAATAAAATGAACTTTTTTGATTTTAGCAAATGGCTGCAATGAAACAAAGAGTGAAAAATTGAAAGGGGTCTGAATACTTTCTGTACCCACTGTAGCATGTTGAAAAAAAAGTCATAAAAAAGTGATAGTATAAGCATGTCGAAAAAGTGATAGTATAGCATGTCGAAAAAAGTCTTAGTATAGCATGTTGAAAAAAGTCATAGTAAAGCATATCGAAAAAAGTCTAAGTAAAGCATATCGAAAGAAGTCTAAGTAAAGCATATCGAAAGAAGTCATAAAAAAGTCATAGTATAGCATGTTGAAAAAAGTCATAAAAAAGTCATAGTATAGCATGTTGAAAAAAGTCATAAAAAAGTCTTAGTATAGCATGTTGAAAAAAGTC